ATGGTATATATAAAGGTATGTATGTGTATTGTTTTTAGATTTTACAGCTAGTTTCTACCGATAAACGAAATAGTATTTGGTTAGCGTACTCAGTTTTGTTTGCCATCAATCTATGAGCTATACATAGAGAAAATTACTAAATCTAGATTTTTTATATTTTATATATTTTTTTTTTTTTTTTGGTTGGGCAATGAAATAAGCAAAAAGTTTTGAAGCATTTCACAGACAGTCAAGGCAGACAGAACGTGTTTTGTTTATATGGGAGATATAGGTAATAAAAGGTATTCGGGTTTTTAGAATAAGGCATAGGCAAAACGAAGCTTAGAAAGGCGCGAAGTAAACACAAACTTAGGAGGAAGCTGGAAAAGTGCTGCTCTGCCGAAAAGCGCGGCATGTGAAAATGCGTAGCATGTGGCATGTGGCAAGAGGCATGTGGCGCATGTAGTGATTGGGTGAAGTTTCTTAAGAAAAAGGGGCGTGTGTTCTGCTTAGAATTTGAAAAGATATATAGTAGATAAATAAGTAATATATGTGGAAAGCGGTACAACAGAAAAAACAAGATAAGTGAATACCAAAATAAATACCAACACACAATAAAGTAGTTTTGTTTCTGTTTCGTAAGGTTCAAACTATATTTTAAATCAAACACACACGATATTTCAAAAATAAACATTAATCAAAGAACTATCGACAATTAAAGTAATATTAGTGGCAAACATTAAATTGTCATTAAACATTATGAAAATATATATATATATATATATATATATATATATTTGTTTCGATGTAACGTAAATTAAAACAAAATATTACAGAGATTATAAGTATATATATGTATGTATAAGAATAGGTAATAATAGTAATATTAAAAGTTCGAATCTATCAACTTCGAGCGCCATTAGCGTTAAAAAAATGGGGCTAAAACTTAAAGTGCGCAAGTCTGTGGCAAATTTTTTTACTGTTTCATTTCTTTCTTTTCTTTTGGGTATATTCCTATTGCTATACAGGAAAAAACACATAAAATCTATAAGCTACATTTAAGAAATTTGTATAATTGTCAGTACATAAATTATATAACGTAAAAATTACATAGAAAAACATAATAAAGAAAAATCACACGAGATCTAAGATTAAAAACATAGTTCTGTTGTCATCAATTTTATTTTATAAACATACATCATGTATACATAACATGTATGTAAATTTTATATATATATAAGTTATTCAGAACAAAAAAAAACATGTATAATACATCGAGAGCAAGAGATAGAGAGAAAAATGTATATAGGAAAAACGAAAATTGTACATAGTTTTGTATTTTCTTTTAATAGTCAACATAGGAGTCAAATCGTGAACATAACATTAACATTAAGATAACATAACATAATTTTGATGGCTTAACATTTTTGAATATGATTTGAGGTGTGGATGTATGTGTGTGTGACGGTGTGTGAGTGTATCAAGGTAAGAGTGAATCGCAAAGAGACAGAGAGAGAGAGAGTTGTGATTGTGATGGTGACTTAAAATATTGATTTTGATTCGGTTTATTGTTTAGTAAAAGGCGCTTTATAGCTAGGGTTTATGGGTATGTGTGCGCGTGTGTGAGTGTGAATGATTATATGGAAGCTAAACGATTTACAGATCGAACTTCGTCATGTTCTAAGAGTGTGGATTGGTTTTCGGGTGTTGGGTATTTGGGGTGTGTGCAAACAGCTAGAGTACATAGTATTGTTGTATATCATATATATATATATTTATATATATTAGCAGCATACAGCATGTATAGTATTTGTGTATAATATGTGTATATATAATAGGTATATTCTATAACTAGGCAATATTCGTTACGCATGTTCGTTGCTCAACAATTTTAAACAATTAAAATTACAACAGCATTCACGATAGCTAACTAACTAGCTAACTATACAGTAGCTATAGAGAGAGATAGAGACAGAGTGAGAGCGAGGGAGAGGTAGACAGAACGTGAAAGAGTTTTTGCAACGTTAGCTTCATGGCATAAAAAAGCTTTTGCAGCCCAACAACAAGCGCAGACACAACTGTACCTAGCAGCAATTTCTTTTAATTTCTCTTGTTCCTCCTGTTATCTAATGCCGTATTTTATAGGAACGATTAACTGACTCTCATGTACGAGGAAGGGGTGTGAAGTAAGCTTTTTTTCTCTTATGTCTGAGTGTGTGTGTGTGTGTGTGTGTATTGTGCAAAACTATCACAGTACTTCGTTATACCAAGTTGCAGTTGCCGTTACCAATTCCATTTCCGTTTCCGTTTCTATTTTATGAACTTTTATGTTCAAGCTAGTGGCTCATTAAACGCTATCAAAGAGGAACTTAACTTAAAAAACTACATAAAGAAAAAGTTTCGTTTTAGCTTTAAAAGCTTCGTTTTTATTTAGCCTAAGCTATGAAAATGGCAACAGCTCAAGTCACATTGAGGTTATGTTTTGTGTATCTTTGTTTGTTGCGTCTAATTAAAACAAAAATATTGTTTAATAAAAAATCCTAAGGAAAATTTGACATACTGTTTGCAAGACGCGACTTGCATTTTGTGTGTAGGTAGGCGGGGCAAGATGATTGCTTGGGGGGGGGGCAAGCAGCATTCAAGCATATTGCACTTAATGAAAGTGCGTGAATGTTCGAAAAAGCTTTCAAAGTTTTTTACAATTGTAACTTTGATTTCTTATATTGCAAAAGCTGCGGATGACTAAGCTTTAAGCAGCTTTAAGCAAATTTCTTTAACAGGCCAATTTAAAAATCTTCCATAGTGTGTAGGTGTGCTTGCATGTTTGTATGTTTTTGCGTGTACGTTTGACTTGAATTTGGGATTTGTCATGGTGCAGTTCCTTTTTTAAAAAAATGACACGTTATGACACTCTAAATATAATGCTATCTATTACGAGACCTAGTGTATAAATTAAGTTAAAACTGAGGCACATAATCTTACGTCTTCGATGTGTACTACATGCTATAGTTACTACTAATACAAATAAGTGGACCAATACGCCTATTAAGTACAGTTGCGTTCGAGTCTCTGTGTTTGGGTAGTGACTGTTTCACCTGCTTAGGAGGTCTTCATTTTCTTATAGGGATTCAGCACCATGGCGCTGCCCTGAGCCCCACCCTGCGCAGCTGCAGCAGCAGCTGCTGCTGCTGCATATTGCTGAGCTGCAGCCGCCGCTTGGCTGCTGGGCATAGCATAAGCATAGCCGCCGCCAGCGGCGCCGGCAGCTGTGGGTGCGGCGGTCATCATGCCCGGATAGAAGTAGCCTTGGGCAGCAGCCGCTGCAGCGGCATACTGCTGCTGGCTGGCAGCCATTTGCATGGGTGCAGCTGCGCTGGGTGCACGCAGTAGCGCGGCAGAGCCGGTCGACAAATAGCCGGCGGCGCTGGCTGTACGCACCGGAGTGCCGGGCGCCACGGGCGTGGACAGACCCGAGTTGGGCAAGGAGCCATATTGACGCAGCTGCGCCTGGGCTTGAGCCTGTGCCTGGGCCTGGGCCTGAGCCTGGGCTTGAGCCTGGGCTTGGGCCTGAGCTTGTGCTTGAGCCTGCACCTGCATTTGCAGCAGCGTGGCCATGGACACCGGCTGTGGCTGTTGCTGCTGTGTGTGCGGTTGTGGAACCGGCTGGGGGGTTGCCGCAGCGGCCCCAAAGCTCTTATTGAGTGTCATGCCTGTGTATGCGGCTGCGGAGGCAGCGGAGACGGGCTTGCCGGCAGCAGCATTGGCCACCTTTAGGGCATAGTTCTTTTGGGCTACCTCCTTGGCCAAAGCGGCAGGATCTGCATAATAGCTGGCCGCGGGACTAAGACCAGCTGCATAGGCGGCATAAGCCTGTTGCGCATAGGCCATCTGGGCCTGAGCCTGAGCCTGAGCCTGAGCTTGAGCTTGAGCCTGCACCTGAGCAACCTGTTGCTGCTGCTGTTGTTGCTGTTGTTGCTGCTGCGCCTGCACATAGCTATTCTGCATATTGTTGCTGGCCATGCTAACAATGGGCGTGGCATTTGTATAGCCGCTGTACAAACTAGCATAGCTGTATGGAGGCATTGCGTAGCTCATACGCTGAAATTGTTGTACCGAAGATGCCACTGAGGACACAACAGAGGGGCAACTGTTGCTGCTGCTGCTGCTGTTGGTCGTGGGCGTGGGCAAAATGCCGCTGCTGTGGCCATTATGATAGCGCTGATAGGCATCACTGCTGCTGCCATTCTGTTTGGGCGCATAGCTGCGCTGGGGCGGGGTCTGTATATAGGAAATGGAATCGGCATCGACCGTTGCACCACTGACAGCAACTGTTGCTGTTGCTGCTGTGTTGCTGCTGTTGTTGCTGCTGTTGTTGCTGCTGTTATTGCTGTTGCTGGTGCTATTTTCAGCATCGTTGGGCGGCTCGTCGCCATTCAACGATTTCAGATTGTTATTTAAATATGACAAATAGTTGTTGTTGTCGCCATTAGCGCGGGTCATGGGATCGCCCAGAAGGGCTTGTGTCTCAGTGGGTGGGGGGCTAGAGCTACCATTTGTTGGGGATGTGGTTGTGTCATGTATAGCAGTTGTTGTTGCTGTGTTTGTGATTGTTGCTGTTGTATCATTAGCTGTTGCAGTGTCTGCTGTTGTTGTAATTGTTTGTGCTGTTGTATTACAATCGTTAGCTGTGTTTGTTGTTGCTGTTGTGTTTGTTTGTGTTGTAGCTGTTGTTGCTGTTGTGTCATTATTTTCTTGATCATGATCCGCCTCATAATCGTTAGCTAGCACTTGATTATCATGATTAATATTATGATTAGTAGCTGTGGTTGTTGTTGTTGGTGTTGTTGTATTTGTATTGGTATTGGTATTTGTATTGGTATTGGTATTGGTAGTCATAGCAGTTACAGTTACAGCATTATTATTATTATTACTGGCTGCTGTTGCTGCTGTTGTTGTTGTTGTTGTTGTTATGGCGCTACTTATTGCTTGTAGTTGTTGTTGTTGTTGTGGGAGATACTCACATGACACTGGCACGTAGGGCTGCATTAATTGTTGATAGGTTGTCGCACCGGGTTGATACACTGGAATGCCAGACTTTTCGGCAGCTGGACGTTTGAACGGTACCATGCCAGAGAATTGCTTTAAAAATAAAAAAAAAAAATAGCGAAAGAGAGAGAGAGAGAAAGAGAGGGGAAGAGAGAGAGAGAGGTAACCAATACATTATGGATTAGTAAAATTGTCATGAAGTACATCTTAAATTAAGCCTAGTTGCACTCTAGCCATACATATATATAATATAATATAGAATAAATATATATAAATAGCTTACAAACGAGTTCAAGTTGGGATTTTAATTTTGTCCATTCTTGAATTTTACACTCAATTTTCTCAAACTTTTGCCAATGCGTGTAAATGATAGTAAATATATCCAATAATAAATTAAAACTATTCAAATCGAATCAAAACCAAAAAAAAAGTTAAAGTAGCATTTAAAAGTATTCAAAGATTTGGCAAAGGCAACGTAAACAAATTGCGTGCATTTCAAGATTGAGAGCTTGTAATGTGCTTTCCAAAAGGCTACAAAAGCTTTGCTCAGCCAGCGATTAAAGCATGTGAGATGTTCAAGGATATTTCTGTGTGGGATATTGCTGCAGCAAAGGACAGCTGAATTCTTAAAACTAAACAAAATCGCCGGCCAATTGAAATTGTTCACATTTCACAGACTATTTGTTGTCGGTTAAGTTCAATATCTTAAGCTGACCCATGCTGAACCAATTTTTATCACCGAATTGTGCAGTTTTTTTCAACCAATTGAGGTTTTTTTTTTAATTAATATTTGTTTTAGTTTATATCGATTTAGTTATTTTATGTGTAAGTTTGTGGAATTTTGATTTGAATACATGCATTCTTATTAAAAAGGTCAATTGCTTGTTTAAAGTATGCATTGCGTTTGTTTTAAATAAGCTGTGTTTCTTAAGGTTCCAATAAAAAGTAATCGAAAATTGAATGCAAAATTTATGTTTGTTTACTTAGAAAATTATCACATTTCGATAAAACAAATGCTGTAAAACTAACGAAAGAGCTTTTTAGCGATAAGGTATCGATGACGTTTTTCAAATAAATGCCACCGAATATTTTTTCCACTATCGATAGATTCAAATAGAAGTTCTTTCTACAAAAATTAGCTGAACTTTGTATATTCAAACATCTGGAATAGTGTATTCATGTAACTTAAGTGAAAAGTAAATGTTTTATATACAAAGAGTAATTTAAAAATAAATCGAATCGATTTGCTACTTATTTTCGATCGTTTTACAACACAACTTTGCTTGCGCAGTTTTAAGAAACACAGCTTAAATTATTTGTTTAGTAATTATAGGTTTATATTATGTGTTCTTCTATATATGTAGTATTATAATACTGGATGGATAGTTGTTCATTTATCTGTATGATACGTTTTTTATTTATTTGGAGTACTTACGAAGTTTTCATAGTAAAATGAACCAACCGTTTTAACATCCATCTTTTTGGTAATTGTGCACATTTATGGTTATTATTGTTATTGTCATTATTTTTATTATTTTCATGATTGTATATTCCGTAATGATCGTAATTCGATATTAGTAATTGTTTCATTTCATGATTAATTTGAATGATACGCATTGTTGATTGATGAATTTGTTGCAGTTGATGTTTTTTTTTGGTAATTTTTCATTTTTTTGGCATAATTGGGTTAGCAGACATTTATTGTTGTAGTTGTTGTAGTTGATGTTGTTGTTGTTGGTACATATATATTCAATATATACGATAATTGATTGTTTTTCGAATTTTGGTTTTGAATTGTTGGCAACAAGTAACATAGAGACACAGAAAACAAATGAAAGTCGGAATCGAAAAACAAACGAAGAAGAGAGAGAACACAAATGAAATTAGTGAATATATTCAGCATAAATATACAAAATTCAAATTTGTTTTCATATTAGCAGTAAGTTAGAGAATATATATATATATATAGACTTAGACTAGCGTGATGTGAATGTGTGATAAGTTAACCTAAGCTCTATGTAATTATAATACATACAATATCTGATACATACGATGAATACAATACATAAGTTAGGAGCAGGCAGTCTGCCAAGACTTAAGTTTAAACAAAATGCACAAAAGCCAAGCAAATTTCGGATACAGCCCGCAGCTAATTAACCTGGAAAAGCACTTAAGCAATTAAGCAGGGCTGGCACACTAGTGAATGCACTAGCAGCTGCAGTTGCCGTAAAAATAATAAAGCGTAGCCAAGCAGGAAGAGCTGTCAGAGCAGTCGGAACCGTCGAAACAGTTCGTCATGCAGTCAAATGCGAGTGAGTGTATTCATTTTGGGGCCTGGCCAATTAACTGTTAAATCATTTTAATTAACACTTGCCCAGGTGAGTGAGTGAGAGAGTGCGTGAGTGTACGTGATTGTGATTTATCATATGCTACCCCTAATTGTTGCTACATACGGCACGCAACACGGCAACAAACGATGATTGCAAGTGGAAGCTGTCGATGCCAGAGTCCAACAGGGTAACATGTAGTATTGGGAAATTGATTAGTAATATGCATTTGTGTGTTCGCAGTGTTGTGTAGTGCGTGTTTGCGCTTTTGATATGCCAGATAATTACTTCATTTTGCAAATTAAATGCTCGCTGACTAACTGACTGAATGGCTGGAAGACTTGTCTGTCTGACTTGAGGGCTGCGCTGATTATAAACGTTAATTGATGGCACTTCACAGTGCATGTGAAATTAGCGAGTAAATGGGTAAATGAGTGCTTCAGTGTTAGTGAATGCGTGAGTGAATGAGTGAATGAGTGGGTGAATGCATGGCTGACTGAGTAAGCGAGTGAGTGGGTAATTATGGGGTGGTGATTTGCTTTTGTTTGGTTGTCAGCGCCAAGGAACTGGAAGTTTTATTATACATACTAAAATCTATTTCAACTTTAAACTTGATGCATACATTTGTCTGATATGACTTGACTTTCTGAATCAGGACAAATATATATATCCTTTTTTTTTATTCAACTCAATGTTTAACAACTTCGATGAAAATTAAAAAAACGTTCGGATTTCTAAACTGTTTTTAGAATTTTTGAAAATGATGTTTCAAGAAAATAGAAAGAAAATGAAGTATTCATCAATTGTCTTAAATTTGAATTTGTAAAATGCTTTTAGTCAACGCAAAGTATGCATCATAAGGTTAAACAGATATTTAGCGAAATTCAGTTTTTGCCCTACATTACTTTTAAGCTGATTTAGCAGTTCTTTTTTCATAGCACATTCGCAGCTTGAAAGCATGCACTAAAAGAGGGAGCTAAAAATAAGAAATAATGAACTTAACTCAATCAAAATCGAAGGCGCAGGAAATTAAACAATAATATTAAATAAATATCGAGAAACGAAACGCAACAGAAAAGGAAAAACGATAAAAAAGAGGTGAAAGAAATTAAACAAAATACCAGTGGAAACATTTCAGGATCCGCTGACCGCTTCTTGCCCACTTCCAGTGTGTGATGACCCATGACAGCAGCGGCAGCGGCGGCGGCGGCGGCAGCAGCAGCGGCAGCGGCAGCGTTGTTTGTTGTTGTTGTTGCTGTTGGTGTTGTTGTTGCGCCAGCAGCGACGCCGCCGGCCGTTGGGATGGTGTTGTTGTTGTGGAGGTGGTTCTGCAGCTGTTGCTGTTGTTGTTGTTGTTGTTGTTGTTGTTGCTGATGCTGATTGAGTTGTTGGTGTGCCGCAAGAGGTGAGCTCTGTATTGTGTATTGTGTGTATGTGTGTGCGTGTGTGTATGCGCGCGCGCATGTGTATTGGTCAGTTTAGGTGCATAATTTTGTCAAGTTGCAATATTTGAAATCGAAATCAAAATAATTATGCCCCAAAATCAATTAAAAGGAATTTATAGAAAATGATTTTTTAACAAGCATTTAAATTATGCGTCCATTAAATATGCATAAATTCCATTTGAATTATTCAAGCAGCGTTGGTGTTGGCATTCATAATAAATATGCACATTTTTTTGAAATTTTGTTTTGTTTTTGTAGTTGTTGTTGCATTTTTTGCGTACATATTTCAAATATTTGTATATATATTTGTATTTGCATTTTGAACGTATTTTTTGTGCGTTTTATTTTGTGCATTTGTGTGTGTTGCAAGTGTGTGTGTGTTTTGTGTGTGTGTGTGTGTGTGTGTGTGTGTGTGTGTTTGTGAGTGTAGATACCATCCATCGTAGAAGCAATTACAGTGTGGCACAGGCGAACAGATGAAATACATAATAGTAGAAGAGTACGAGTGTTTTTTTGTGATAAGTAAAATTATAGTCAAAAAGAAAAAAAAAACATAAAATCAAATAGAAATCAACAATTTTTTGTTTGAAGTTAAAACAGATTTTTAAGAAATATAGTAGCCTTTAAATCAATAGAACATTTTACCCTGTCATAATTTTGCTTTTTTTTATAATTTTATAAATTGTTTACTCGATTTCTTTTCATATTTTAAGACCTAAAATAAATCACGAAACCAGCTAATTGCTTATATTACAATTATATATGTATAACAAAATTTGAAGTTTTTTTTTTCATTTGTTAAAAAAGCATCGTTAATAAGAAGCTCAGAAGCGTATATTATAAATAGATATTTGAAATATTTATAAATAATTTAAATGTATAAGCTTGCAAAAGCCAGCAGCAAAAGCTTTATATATTGTTTATATGAAACCCATCATAGGTATAATACTTGGTAGCTAAAATACTTAGTATAAGAGCTTAAATTCTAACCTAGAAATTATAAATAATTGCTGTTAAACGCAACAAAATCATTTTTACGGTCGATTAATAAGTTTGCTGTAAGCCAATAGAATTATTCATTTAAAAAATATATATTTCGTTTGAATTTAGTTATGAATGTAACAAAAATTGATTTGAGTACACACACACATTCGCATTTCGTCGATGAGTTGGGCCGCAAAAGTACTCGTACACCAATTCGATACCTAATACCGATCGATACCTACCGATGCATCGTTGCTGCTGCTTTATACTCGTTACAACTCCTAACTAAAAGCCATAAATAAATATTAAAGTAAAGCATACATTTCGTAGTGCATTCGAGCAGTTCGAGTTGTAAATTTTGACTCCAGAGAGCTCAACGCTAATACGTTTAACACCACAATTTACACAAGAGGTTGACAGCATTTGGGCACCGAGATGGCTCTGGTTTGGGGATTTTTTGTTGCTCTCTCTGGTTATCTAGTTGCACTGGGCTAATAACCAAAAACTCAAAAAAACATAAAACAAAACATAACTTAACATACTTTTAGGCGGACACACCGTGTTCAACACGAAAAAGTGCAAAAAATTTGCATTTAAATGGAGTCGCAAAGGGAGAAGCTCAGTTTTTTTTGGGAGGATTTTTTTTAATATTTATTTTTTGTATTTTTTTGGGTTCTGTTTTGTGGTCTTTTGCAGTACACACGTAGCTCAGGTTGTGCCACTTGCTGTTTCAGTTCCCCTTGCTGGAACTGTTTCATGTCACCGCCAATGAATGCTATAAATGGATTAATTCGCTTGGGCAAGGCGATATGTGGTCTGCCTATGTGTGTGCGTGTGCGTGTGTGTGCGTGGTGTGGTATCTGTGCGTTTGTGTGTGTGTGAGTGTGCCGTTTTTTGGGGTCATAAGAGACTGTGGTGGACACTAGCCAGAAAAAAGCGGAAATATATCTGACAAGGTCGCAGGGAAAATACACTGTATTATTTATAGATCTTCATTTAAACTCGAATTATTTTAAATAAATTCTTTTTGTTCATTGTAAATATTTGCTATTATATTCTTAGAACTTTTTTGTCTTTTTAAATATGAGAGTGTCTCAGCTCAATTTGAGAGATGCAGCTAGTCTAGAAAAAAACAATGTTTTTATTTGTTATATTAGTCGGACTGTAAAATATTAGCTGAGCTCTGATGAGTTGTTACATCTTTCATATGAAAACACAAACTCGATCTGACAATCATAATAGCCCAAGGACCTTACACTATAGTCGTAAGGATTGTCAGTTGAAAACTGTCGCTGGGCGGGCAACGTTGCCGCTGGACAATTCATTGGCATGGAAATCTCTGCTTTTAGTTAATTTTCCGGTTCAAACGTTATCCTGCCGACTAATCCGTGTCGTCGTTCAGTGCGTCCTGCCTGTCTGCCTGCCTGTACAGGTTGACATTTACATTTTTGGTCGGAACACAAAAAAATGCCTCACAGCGGGTCATGTCCTGCAGTCTGCTGGCAGCTACTTTTTTGTGCTGCTGGCCTCGTGTCACGCTTACATAAGGATTATAGTTTGGGGTTGCGGCGCTGTTGTTAGTGTCACGGCAGGAGGGCAGGATGCGAAGCACAGTTCGAACTGTCGCTTTGATTCGACAGTTGACATATTTCGGGCATGCCACTGGCCTCTTCAAATATATGGCTAATATTTTGCTGTTGTAGCGAGGCGATCTTTTTGATTTTTATTGGGGTCGCATGTTTTTCAAAGGACGCACAATACGAACAACTCAAAATGTAAATAAAATATATTTAATTTAATAAATAAATAATTTATTGCCCATCAAAACGAAATATGAGAAGAATTTAACTCAAATTTTTATGCTCTGTGCGGATTTTTTCGTTTGTGTGTGGTTCGCGGGGCGTATGCGTAATGTGTGTTAATTTATTTTGTTCTTTTTAGTATTGTTTTTGTTGTTCATGTTGTTCCTGTTGTTTTTGCTGTTTTAAGAACATTATGTGTGTAAAACTAGGGTATAGTAAAACAAGTTAAGACACAACATTTAATTAAAGATTAAGATATTAGTACGAGTAGATAGCTAGTAAAGGATTCGGGGGCTGCACATTATAGACCAGAGTGGCAATTTAAAATATAGAAATATTATAAAATATACTGGAAATTTGTTTTTCCTTTAATTGCTTTCCACGCTAGCACTGACAGCATGCATAAATAACCCCAAGGATAATACAGTTTGTATACATATATATAAATATATACATATGAATACTGATGATATAGGTACATATAGATTGTCTAGGGATAGTTTCTAAAGAGGGGTATGGGTACACAAAAATAAACAATAGCATAAATCATAAATGTTTTTAGACCAGTTATAGCGAGATATGCTAACGGTAAACATTGTAAGTTACAGCTAGCTAGGGATTTGATATAGCTTAAGGGAATTCATTTGGCATATAGTTTAAATTATGACATAGCTTGATGATATTGTTAAAGTTTTAATAAGTAACATATATATGGAAAATAAAGATATTTTGGTATAATTTATAGCAGCGCTGCATCGGTCTGAAGTCAAAATTAGTATGTGTAAAAACTAGTTAAGTTTTTACAATTCTAATTTGAGCATTAAATTAATATTTCTTAAGAATGAGTGAAACGCTCAAAACAAATTTTAGCTTGAAGATTTTTTATCCCTGCACATGATTTTGATATTCGAAACGAAAAAGAAACGCCTAAAATTTGAATCAAACTTTAGCTAGAGTTGGAGATTACAAATTTTGATAGATTTTGTTGCATTATCAAATCATAAACAAACGGCAAAGGAAACTAATTAATATGTAGTCTAAGGTTTATGGCATATGTATTGCCATATCAAGAAAGGAAAACTAATTGCTAATATATAAATAATTAGCTACAAGCTGAAAGCACAACGAGGGCAACATTTAACGAGCCATTTCATAATAACAAAATCGTTATTTTATTATGCATTTTAAACGTTCAGAGCAGGTGCAACAATATATAACACACAAACACACACGAACATATTTAAAAGGATATATATGTATAGGTATATTATTTTTTTGCCTTAGCTCATAATCATATTAAGCCCGGGCCCATAAATAAAATTATGCGCTGCCCTGGCCAGGTGCGTGTGCGTGAAAGAGACAGCATCAGTTAAAAAAGAGAGAGTGAGACTGTGTGTCTGTGCGTGTGTGTTGGTGCTGGTAAAATTTCAAAGGACAATTTGATACAATAATCACGTTTGTCGTGCCTGGTCTGGAGCTCGATTGAATTACGCCTAAAATGCTGCAACAATTTTTCACTTTATGCGATATTATGCTGCAATTATGTGTGTCATGTTTGCAGCGGCAACTGAGAGATGGTGGTGGGGGAGGGGGTAACACTGCCACATCCAGAAGGAGCCTGGCAACAAGGACACTACGACTCATCGTTGTTGATGCTGTTTTTGCTGTTGTTGTTGGTGTTTTTGTTGTTGTTGTTGTGCGCAGCGTCAAATAAATTTTCAGCCAAAAGCAATTAAGTCGCGAATTAAGTGCGGCGCATAGGCAGGACCCCATGGACGCGGCAGGACGAGCACACACACACACACAGACACACATGCAAGCCCATGTGAGAGTTGGGCAATCACGAACGTGCGCCCACGTGTGGCTATGTGAGTGTATGTGTTTGCCTGGCTGACTGCTGCGTGCTCAAAGTTTTAACGCGTTGTAATAAATGTTAATTTTCCCCAACGAAAATCAACATTTATGGCGTGTTTTATGTGCAGCTTCAACATATTTTCCATGTTGTTGAATGCCAGCAATGCCAATCCCTGTCAGTTTCTGTGTCTCTGTATATGTTTGGCTGGGATTATGAGCTTGCCACACATGCATGCACACAAATATAAACCATGTTTATTGGTGTGCGTGTGTTGTTATTTTCTTGCGTAAAGTCAAATTGTTTAAAATGTAATTTTGTCTTTCGCTGTCTTTCGATTTATTGAACTTTTTAAAATTTCGTTAAGAACACGTAAATATACGCTTAAATGGCCCTAAAAAAGCAAAGTGTGCACTTGATCTGATTTTAAAATTGGTTTATCAAGTAAAATATTGAACAATTTGCCGGTGGGTAGCCAATTATTTTAGCCCACTTCTGTGCATATTAAATTTAATTAAATATTTTTATTTATCATAATTGGGATGCAGATGAAACATTTTCTAGTATAAATATTACGAGCTTCTACTCTATTAACTGGCTTGAAAATAACAATTTTTAATTTTTGATATTGCTAAGTTCATTAATTCCTTGACTTCTGTGTTCTACAACTTAATTTATACAAAAAAAAATGGCTACTCATACAATTTAATTTTAATTATTTGCGTTAAGTAAGCAAATTAAATGCCACCTAAGTGAGTTCCATGTGAGTTCTAAGTCTATGTGCGAGTTACAAAACACACTCGGTTAAATTAAAATTACAACTGCAAATTGCACACGTTGAGTTTTTAGAAAGTCGCTCAATATGTGTGTTTGTGTGTATTAAATAGTGTTTATGTATGGGATAATTTGAATGCATTTCTGGCAGAGCTCTGGCAGCGTAGCATAAAATATCGCAATTTATTTATTTATTTTTTTGCTCGAGTAAATTGCAGTTATTTATTGCTGTTGTGCTAACGTTTGCATAAAGTTAATTAAATTGTTTACATGCAGCATTAAGTTTTCATTAAATTTGCTTTAAATAAGCAGAACGGAAAAGGGAGAGAGAGAAACTTGAACATAGAGATAACATGGAGTTTACATGGAGTTAGCATTGAGCCAATATTGTGTTAACACAACCGTAAACATCATAAGCTAACATTAAGTTAACAGTTGATTAACAGAACTTGTTTAAAGCAAATTTTTAATTGAAAACTTAAAACGGTTAGAAAGTTCTAAATCTAACTTTTTTATACATAAATATATTGCTTGCTAAATACTAAGAGCGAAAACTATTGCGTACTTTGTGGCGTGTTGAAGTTTCTTAGTGCGGGGCAGTAAAAGTGTTTCATTTGGTTTATCTTTGTTTAAGTTGAACAAAAAAAGTCGAAAATAAAAATATTGTGAGTTGCTCTAATTAAGCCAAAACTGCATTGACAAAATGAAAAAAAAAAATGAACACAAAAAATTGTATAAATTTTAATTGAGAAAATTTAATGCAAATCTTGAGCAGCTGGCGCACACAAAAAAATAAAAACTAGACAAATTAGGCGGCATAAAAACGCAAATTAAACAAAACATATTGCTGTCGCTCTCGCACTGTGACCAGCTGCCACATGTGCGAGAGAGATGGCAAATTAGGGCGGCTGGGGCTGTGGGGTAGGCATCGGGAGAGGGTTGGGCTTGGACTGAGGGGGTTAAAGAAAGAGAAAGTATAAAAGTAAATATAGAAATAGCCATACCGCAGCTGCAGCAGCGACAGCGGTGGCGCGTGTTTGGGCCGCTTTTAATTGTGCCTGTAGGTGCAGGGGGGGATGAAAGTAGCGGCAGGGGTCACGTGCGCATCTGCCCTTCACGGCGTCCATGCAAACCGTTATGGAACCATCGTCGTGCCGCGCAACGCTCTCCTGCGGATGCGCGAACCGGCATTCCGACTCGGCCCGTTTGCAGGCGCCGCGCAAGAATTCGCGACAGACCTGGAAACACATTTTTAGGATTGTTTTTTTTTTTGTGGTTTTTTTGATTTTTGGAGTTTTTTTTTTTTTTTTTTGGAATTGGATACGGCGTTGTTTTTGGTTGTTGATGTAGTTGTTGTTGTTGTTGTTGTTGAGGTGGTTGTTGTTGTTGTGTTGGTTGCACAGTTGATTGCAGATTGCGGATTGCAGATTGTTTGTTGTAGTTGTTGTTGTTGTTGTTGGTTGTTGGTTGTTGGTTGTTGGCGGGCAGCAATAGCAAAAGTGGCAGCAGTTCAGTGTGTGTGTGTTTATAGGCGAAGTGGTGTTTTGTTGTTTTTTATAGTTTGTTTTTTTTTTTTTTGTTTTGAGGCAAAAGTTGCAGATTTGTTGTGTGTGTGTGTGTAAGTGTTGTGTGTGTATTGGAAATAATGGAAGGATATTCAGTAACAGTTCAGTTTTTTGTTGTATACTTCAAAAGTAAAGTTAAGTATGCGAAACGCAACAACTTTTAATTATTTTTTGGATTATTTTTTTTGGAAGTTAGTGCCGATTTGCAGTTGTTGTAATTGGTTGCTTGCAGAGCATGCTTCCACATATGCACATAGATGTCGTATATATGGTGAGTATATAGATAGATACATACATATATGCTTAATTTTTTGTTTTTTGTTTGTTTTAGCGGCTGCCAATTACAATCTGTGTTAACAGTTGAACAGTGGACAGCAGGATTAGGTTTTCTTTTTTGCTTCACTTACTGTTTTTTTCACAGTTAAGTTTTTGCTATCACTTTTTTTTTAATTTTGTTATTTTTGAGCGAGCCGATTAGTTTTTGAGTTTTGCACTTGAGAACAACAAAAGAACACATACACAAAAAACAAAACAAGGCAAAAATTTGAGTTAGCTAAACACAAATGCAAGGGTTTAATAAAAATTTAAAAGCTTTCAATTGGCTGAGGACCTGAAAGAAACTAGACTGGTACTGTGGAAAAACAAGAATGCCCTTTACTATAGAAAGGGTATTTTATAATCCATCGCAGAATAAACCAAATTAAAAAAAAATAAATGTAACAGCCTAATTTAACTAAAAAAGTGTTAGCTTACATTGTAGTTAACATAGCAAGATAACATTTCTTAGTTTAGAAATCAATTCGCAGACTCCTAACAGACAAAAACATTCTTTAAAATTTTAAAATGAATGCAAAGAAAATATACCAAGATTTTTTTAATCTTTTACTCATGACATGTGAAAGTGTACAACCTGTTGAAAAGTTTATTCTGGGAGCATCTGGCTAAAATGAAGGTATATAACTTAAGAAGTCTTAACATATAATAAACGGATAAGTGCACAGAATTTTCAATTTGTATGTAGTCTGGTTTTATTTTGTTCTATTTACAAATGCTCTGGGCAAGCATATACTGAAAGCGCTTGTCGTAAGCTTTGCAGGGTAGCAGCCGCTTCGGTAAGCGCATTTTGTAAACAAAAATTGTGCCGGAGTTCGACACTTGGATGATTTGATACAACTGTACAAGATTGTATCACATACCAACCAAAAATACATATATATATATATATATATATATATATATATATATATATATATATATATATATATACATATATAAATAAAAATTAAAAGTAAAGTATTATATCAGACATAAGAATAAGTAGAACGATTTTACAAAGACAATTTTGCGATGTTAGATAAAAGTTCAAGTTTTCAAATACGAATACGAATGTGTGTCAACGTGATCAAATCAATTTTTATTATCAGCGAATTGTTAATATTACTTTCCGTTATAATTTTTCATATATTTCTTTTTTATTTTTATTTTTGGCAGAACTAAAGAGAACTTAAAACACTGTACATGGTTTTAGTTGCAATATTTTTTATACATAGTTAAAATATTAGGTCTTATATGAAGTAATACATAATAAAAACTCAATTTTTTAGCATGCGAAAAAAAAAACAATATGGAAACATGTCAAAAGAGAAGCGTTTCTCTTTGCATATTGTTTGTTTCATTGTGTACGAAATAAACGATAAAACGATAACACGATAAACGATTAACGAAATAAACGTAAGCATAAATTAAAGCATAATCCAAAAAAATGTATCACTTTATTGGCTTCTATTGCAGTCAATCAATGAATACAAATTTATATAAAGTAACTGTCACTCACCTCTAATCTGTCGGAGCGTGGAATTTTCTGTTGTGCCACCTGAACGGTCTGTGGCACCACCGTACCCAGCTGTGAGGCAACGGCCGTCGGATCATGTCCCAGCAAAGTAGGCACTAAGTGTCCGGCATAGTAAGGACTGTATGTGTTGGCTGGTATGCCAGTCAAGTAGGGATTTGTAGCCTGGAAGAGCATAAAAGAGTGAAATAGTGAATTCATCATCATCAATGCAAGCCATCAATCAATCATCAGTTAATCAGTCGAAGGTGTTCTAGTGAAAAGCAGCTTTGGCTACTACATTAACAGTTTCCACTCACCCATAACTGCTCTGTAAGACTACCTATCTTATCTTCACAGCTTTAATTCAGGTTAAGAGCTTTAAAGTAGCTTAAAGCTTTTGACAATACAATAAAGCTAACTTACTTGGGTTTCACTTAGAGCCTTATCCTGCTCTTTATCATGTACCCTTTTAATTAATGATAATCTTTTTGACTTATCAAATGCTAATGACTTTTGAGACTTTTATAATTGCATAGAGCAATTGCATTTAACATAGAGCATATCACTTAGCGTTGCATTGTTAATGAGATATCGTGTCAAGAACCCATCGTCAAGCTTATCGCAGCTAAGTATCTGTTACCACTTTAGTTTAAAGAATGTCCCATTTGCAGCACTCCATTTTCTATTTCCTGCCCTGGCAAATCACCCTAAACTCGCTAATGATGCCTCATGCATATTTCAACACACATCAGTGTTGAGCAGTGCTCGGGCTAATGGTCGCTGCCGTTTAGGCAGACATTTAAAAAACCATGTTCAAAATTATTTGAGAATTAATTTTCGATTTGCCGAGTAAAAAAGGCGGCAAGTGCGCCGCCCCTTGGCATGCATAATGCATGCGCCAGGCGAACCGGACAAAAACTTCTTATATAAGTATATATATTCGGTTTTCTCGCCCCTCACTCCGACTTCTTGTGCTACTCATTTTCGCGCATTTTGAATAGCATTTAACATTTTTTGGGGGCTCTGTGTTATTCATAGTTCTGGTCATGGGAGGATTGGGGGAAATGGAAATTGAAGTGGGATATCCGCTTATAAATATTCATATTGCGCAAACAGTTAGTCTGCAGTAGTCTAGACCAGGGAGTGGGCGAGTGGGTGGAGGGGGGGCAGCGCTTAGGAGATTCAATTAAAGTATTATGTGGTTTTCGGGTTGCAAGTACTTACCACGGCTGGCACTTGGCCCGATATGACCGGCGGGCCGGGCGCGATGCCCATTTGTTGCATCAGTGCATTCTTTAGGGCCAGATGATTGCGTCCGTTTATCAACAGCTGATCCTTCAAATGCTGTGGTGGATGAAAATATTTGCACGGCGGTTTATCACGATTACAGCGTCCCTGCGAATAGTTAAATAAATGGTGAATTCTTTTGCTTAAAGCACATCACAGTAAATAAATGGCTCTCCAATTGAATGATTTACAAAGACAACAACAACAATTTGGACAACAGTTTTGGTGTTTTTATTTGTTTTCCATTAAGATTCGTTTTCGTATCAATTTGCTCGTAATTTACTGAACAGTAACTGTGACTGCGATTGTTACTGGACACGCCAGTGGAAATCTTATTGTTGACACACCGACGCTCCATAAATTACGGCGAAAATTTATGTTAATGTGTGTGGACGGTACACGTGTGTGCCCGCGTCTGTGTTGGCAACTGTATAATTTATGTGGGTCAGTGTTGTTTAATGCCAACACAAATTGCCGAAGTTAACCTTAATGTCAAAGTATTTTATTGTGATTTAATAAATTATAATGCAATGTTTTCTTAAGTTGAGTTTGCTTTGCTTTGCAAAGGAAACAAATTCGAACTATATTGTGGGAATAAATAATTTCTTGTTGCTTATATATTTATATTTGTCTATTTTGATCCGGATATCATTGTGGATCATTAGAAAATGTACACTATATTAGCTATAAATAAAATCTGATTGCACACGATATGACTCATTGATTCAATACACTCAATGCACTCGAATGACGCTGTGCTGCCGTGCTGTCAAGTCATAATTTCGAATATAGAATTTGCGCGCCATTGTTATGAATTCCAAAAAGGGAAAACAATTAACTGCACGTAACTGTAAATATGCATTCCGGCCGCACATGCCACACACATCTGTTGAGGCATGCGGCTAAAGAAGAAACTCAAACATGCATATTAAATCGATAAAAAGTAATTTCACATCATTAGCTGGTGTAATTATGGCCGCGAATTAAGCCGCCGAATCATGCAGCTCCTTTGTTTTTTTTTTCTTCTTTTTTTGAGTGCCGGGCTAAATGTCAACAATAATTATAATGAGTCCAGGCTAATGCTCCAGGGCCAGGTAGGGCGCATGCAACATGGCATGCACAAAAAAGATTTAATTCCCGTGTGTGGCGAATTGGGTGCGCAGACTGTCAAACAAATATGCATGTAAATTATATTTAATTCAGAGCAAATGAAGTTAACAAATATTTACATATGCCCGGGCGAACAGCGGACAGGACAGTGGCCGCATGTCCTTTGTCCGCGCCAGCTTAAACATTGAAAAAATAATAATAAAAGGAACTGTAAGGCCTGGAAAATATTTATATGTATGCATAAATTGATTGTTTACTTGGGCAGCCCTCGGCACGAACAGGAGCACGTAGTTGGCAATTTTCATTTTCATATTGTTATTGTTGTTGTTTTCGTTTTTATTGTTGTCGCTTTTCGTCCTGGCATTCACAATTTATGACGCAATGAAAGCTCTGCAAGATTTATGGCGTGAACAAAATAAGAGAAAAATCTCATGCGCCCGCCGCTAACTTACAAATAATTGTTGTTCAAAAAATGTTCACTGCCCGCCGACATTTATAAAATTTTATTCACTGTTGATGTTATTTGCCAAACAACACGAATTGCACAAAATATTTGCACAAATATTTGCTTGCATATTTTTCAATGCCAATTCAGCATGACAAATGTTGTGCAAATGTAACAAAAATATCAAAACAAAAACGTAAGCGTACAAGCTGCTCAACTAGGTAATATCCTGGAATAGCCTAGAAATAAGATGGGAATAGGATTGTTTGAAGTCTACGCAAGACTGCCAATACTTTTCTCTTCGCCCGGCAGATAGGGAAACACTTTAATTAGGCTAAAGTGCAGCCGTTTTGCCTATCGCCTGGCGTGAACGATAGTAATAAACATATTATGTCGTACACCATCCTATCTGATTAACTTAAAAATCTAAAACAAATATAATGAATAAATATAAAATAAATATAATGAAATTATATGATGTCATAAGCGTACCACGTTACATTTTGACGCTCAACTAGTCTATTAAAAAATAAATAAATATATTTTATAATGCAAACGAAGCCTAATCCGGGCATTTTTATGGTATACGATTGTGAATTGCTTTATTCCAATTGTAAATATATATAATCCAATTTGCGTGCAGTAAATAAAATGCATTTTGATAGCCCATCGTATTTCGCTCAGTCAATTATTTCGCATGCATTACGAAATTACAGAAAAATTTGTTGCCAATTAATTAGCTCAATTATTTGTCACACACAAATGAGAAACATTTGCCAGCAAAATTTGCTGGGCAAACAATAATTTGCATTGAACTGGTTGTTGTTGCTGTTGATTTGCAATTTTGATCAAAATACAAAATATTTATTGACAGCAAGCAAACAATTTTCTTTGCACATAAATTTCTCTGAGCTGCGAATCGCGAGGCGCCTGAAAGCAGGCAACACGAGGGCATTGAAAAGCAGACGCCAAACCCGTTGACTGCCCCCGCCGGCACTTTTGGATTATTTGTTTGTGCTTATTGGCGCCATTGGCGGTAATTTAATGCTTGGATTGAGTTTATTCAACAACAACAACAACAACTACTGCAGCAAAAACAACAACTAGCAACAGCAGCACCAACAGCAGCAGTTTTCATGGCTTTTATCTGTATCTGCATCTGTGTCTGCATCTGTATCTGTATCTGTAGCTGTAGCTGTATTTGTGTGCTGTGAAACGAGTAGCTGTGTTTATTGCTAACTATTCTGCTTGATTTTAAATGCTTTAGCAAATTGTCTATCGCTTTCCTACGACACGCGCCCGCTTCCAACCCTGCGCGGCGCTTGTCTCTTGTCACCCTGCAGGCGGCTCTTGTACTAATTTCAAATAATTAAATACAAATGTGATTTTTTAGTATGCCACTTGCCAGTTGCCAGTGCCACAGTTACTTGTTGCCCTCGCGAGCGTAAGCATGTTTTGCATCTAGGTTAATTGCAGTTGATTGGCAGGCGGCAACCGTTGCCATGAAGCGAAGACCATTTACGACATGTGCGAATCGCCTGATTCAGTTATTGCCGATCAAATGGGTCAGTTGACTGGATAAACTGGGGCTTTGTTTGAATGTTAAATGTGATAGCTAATCGATGCGGTGCTTGGTGAGCTAAATATCGCATGCTATATAACTCTATAGCGACTGAGTGCAGATTTTATTGACAGTGGGACGCATATATAATTTTGTTGCTATTTATATATTTATAGTAATTTCATAATTATAATTATAATTATAATTATTATTGAAAATTATGCAAATAATGAATTTATTATGAAAGCCGAAGAACTATCATCGAATTCGAGTCCCAGGCTAGATAATATATTTAATTGAATTATTACAGCTAAATTTAAAGATAATGGGAATTTAAGCTTAGCAACGTGGCAAGGGCATTTTATAGTTTACTTTGCAAGACTCTTCTACACATAATGAAAAGCTGCCAACTTTGTGGCAACACTGGCTGCAACTTTGGGCCTGGCTTGTTCTGCGCATACATTTTCAATGTCATTCGGAAAATATTTAAATTGCATTTGGCATCGCAATCAAATAAGATATTATTCTTGCTCAGGCTGCACAGGCCCCACTAGTGACAACATGCAGAGGATGCGGCACTTTTGCACGTTCTTGCATCAAATGGCGCCGTGGCAGACATTATCTCAAATGGCAAGTGGCGCTCGTCTTGTGCCTCGGGTGCGCCCGCTGGCCAATTTCTTGTTGGTTGAATGTGAAACACATTTAGCTTTGCTGATTGCACTGCTCGCTCCCGTTCAGCTAGTTCTTACACTTTTCTTTTCTTATACTCTTTTTTTTTTTGCCAGTGCTGCCACACTAAACATTTTCATGTCATTTCGATTGTAATCTGCATGACTGGCTCCCACGATGGACGCGACACGCGGCCGAGACAAAAAATATAAAAAAGAAAAGGCAGCGAGTGTGAAAATGGCAAATGGTGTCCACTCACGCACACAGCCAACGGGTGAGTTGCAGAGATGAAGAGCTGCAAAAAGACATACAGATAGAGAGACGGTCAGACGGACAGACTGGCGGACAGACAGACAGCGGGACAGACAGCATATTTGCATTGTGCGCGCTGTTATTCGCACTGCATTTTTATAGCAACCACCGAGCCTCGAACCCTTTTTTTTAGAGCAATTCGCTCATTTTTTTTTTTATTTTGTCACCAAAGCCTTGTGCAGATTATCCGCTTTAAATTGCAATGATTACTTTTTCCTTTTTTTCCTGCTCGTTTTTTTTTTTTTTGGCTGATAGCTGGCATTGGCCTGGCATTTCAGAGCCATTTTTCTTCTTCGCTACGCTCGAAACAATGTTGCTGGCTGTCGCCGTCGTCTGGCATCGTCCTCCATAGACGCTGCATGCGTAGCGAGTCCGTGAGGATTGTGTCCGTCGCAATGGAGGCTAAGGAATTTTTCATGTTTTCATGCCAAGTGCAAGTCAAGTCCAGTCATGTATATCGTCGCATCGTATCGCATTGCCGACATGCGTCTTGGAGAGGGTCGCACCAGCAGGGACGTCGGCCAGAGGCACTCAACGTTTGCTCGACGACGTCGACGACGTCGACAACGTTGGGTATTAAATGTCATTTTGCATTTCGTGACAAGTTGGATAATCTGACTCGAAAGTTATTTATTTCTTCTTTGTTGAGTGCAAAGGAATTTTTCTTGCACTTTGCTAGCCCGAGCATTTTACATGGCATTTTTTGCTTAGTTTGCTGAGCGTATCCCTTTCTATTCCACTTTTTTTTTATTTTTTTTTTGGTGAGTCCCTTTTAAGTTTAGCTACTTTTCTTCAATTTGGCGACGATAGAAATCGCCTTTGAATGTTAATAAAATGGATTTTTATGCAAATTTAAAACTGTTTGGCGGTTGGCTTGGTATGCATTACAAATGCCAGAGGGTTAGACCTAGACAATGAGTTTCCCATAAAATGCAAATGCTGTTTTCTCAACTGAAATTGATAACCAAGACGCGACGGCGCATTATGCAGCTCTCCAGATGTCGAAGTGTG